CATTCTTTCAAGAGCACATGAAAAAGATGCATGATCAATGTACTCCGCTCTCCTTCCACCACCACCACAGCTAACCTCTTCCGTATCCCTGTCGCTGTTCATTTGTTGGTAAGCAAAACACATCCATAAAAAAGACTGTTAAGCAGGGCCAACGCCATACAGATCATAGTTGTCGACATTGAATTAGCAAATCAAGCTAGATCCCATCGCCATTACCATTGATTTGGACATACATGTCGTTGTTCAGTGTGTGAGTGTCACAGCTCATTCACTCGTTTCCCATTATTTCCCACTACTAGGCATCGGCAGAACATGATAAGATCTTCAGTTCGGTATCGAGGTTTCGTCGGAGGAACAATCCTTCCCGTAGTTCTCATGCCTGATGTACACCTTGCACCAGTGCATGGTCTGCACGGAATGCAGATAAAAGTGAAGCGAGCTGTGTGTGTTGCAAGCAATGCGTCTGGAGTTCTGGTGGTAGGTGACCATGAGAACATCATCCAGCAGCACTGCAGCAGGGGGTCCAATTCCAAAGCATCATTTTCTGTCCAGGAAGTATGAAGCCTGCAACGCTTTGGATGAGCACACAGACTGACGGGTGAATAGTCCCTTTCCTTTTCCTTGTGGAAACCGCCCCGGTTTCAACGTGTGTGAACTTGTGGGATCCGTCTCTTCGAAATACCATTGGTCCCTCTCAGAAAAAGAAAAGAAAAGAAAAGAAATACGAACATGAGTTTTGTGTCGGAGGCTTTGCTTGCCGTCGACAATTGTTTTACTTCTAGCCTACGGGTTTCAGAACGTAGAAGAAACCAACCACGTGACATCTTAACAGCAAGCTCTGTGCCGTACCAAAGCTACTAGTACCTCAGTCGGACTTGGAGTGCACCGTTTGCTCACGTCCAGCACCCGCTGCAATGTGCTGTAAGGCATTTGTACAGTTGGTGTAGGACGGTGTCTGAAAGGGACACATAATAAAATCAAGTGAACTGCATCGATTAAGCGTCAACTATGACCTGTTGAAGGGCATGGCGATGGCTGGCAACAGCATACTGAGGCATGGGTGGAGTGGAGGAGGAGAACAAGGAGCAAGAAAACAACCAGGCAGGTCATCTCTCAAGATAGAACCGGTCACGTTGTATCTTGAGAGGAGAGCAACGGCGTAGCTTCTGCAGGGAGCCGAGGCGTTCGCCCGTCGCATCTCGTTCTGATGAGCAGTTACCGTCGCCGATCGTCTTCGCCGGAAGCTAACAAAAGGTCTGGACTTTCATAAGCCTGTGGAAAGCAACGGCCTGCACTGCACGGATCTCTCTACTACGTGGAATTGACGGTCACACAAGCAAGATACCAGGAAGAATAATATCGTTGCCGAAAAGATATAAGCGACAGCGACTCCAGTGATAGCAGTAGACTTCAGTGTTTGATAGGCAGACTGCAAACTGGGCCCGAAATTCAGATCACATCTGGACCGATCATCCTTGGCCCTAGGGGGCGATTATTGGGCTTTTATCTAGCCCGAGCTAAAAATCCGGGCTACACGAAGCGGCCCGAACCTGATGTCCGTTCCGTAACCCTGCGCGCACACGACGCTCGAAGCAAAGCCTCGCCGCCGCCATGAGAGGCGACAACCGCCGGCGCACGGGAGCTCCCTCCACCTCGGCCCCCATCGCCTCTACGTCTAGCAAGCGCGACCTTCAAGAAGAACCCGCCAGCGCCTCCGACGAATCGGGCGACGACGAGGTAAGCTGGGGTTCTGCTCTTCTTCCGACTTCCTCGCACGAACCACGGAGCGCTCACCAGACTTCGCTGGTATCCCAGGAGGTCCCCTCGTCGTCGGAGTTGGAGTCGGAGAGCGACGGCGAGGATGCGGAGCGGAGCGGAGCGGGAGCTGGAGCGCGCGCTCGCGGACGTGCCCTTCGGAGAGCTGCAGCGCGCGAGGGCCGACGGGTCGTTGGCGCGGGCCACCTCTGCGGCCAAAGCAGCTGCGGAGAAGAAGGCTCGGAGGGCTAGCAAGAAGAGGTTCGGCGATGCCCAGCTGCTGTTGCCTTTTCATGGTTCTGCTGTTCCTCGTGGCTGTTGTTTGTTCCTGATGGGTTCGCTTTTGTTTTTGACAGGCCCATGGAGATAAGCACAAAAGTGCGGCCACCGAAATTGAGGGAGGTGATACAGGTTCCCAAGAAGGTTAGTTGTGCCTCCGATTTAGTTCGATTTGTCATGTTGAGACTGTATTTTCATTTTGATTAGGCTCTGTGCACAATATTTTAAACGATCGGTAGTGCGTATATGATAAGTTGTGTTTTGGCAATTCGTTGAATCCCAACCACCCTTCGCAAGGATAACAGTGTGTTTTCAGTCACCCATCTGGTTGGGCATGCTTTGCTGCTGCAGCTTAGATGCTTCTGAATGCTGTTACATGTAAAGTCCTGTTTCTTTATCCTATTTATTCGGTAATTTCATTTAGTTATCTAGGCTCGGGAAATGCAATCATGCTGTTTTAAGAATTCATCTTAATGTTCAATTCATTGTATAAAAGATATCTGCTGTAATTGATATTCATTAACTGAAAATATTTATCACGAAAGAGTGCAGTTTATATATTGATTTTCTTGCACTTCCACTTAGTCTGTTCTTATCTTCATCTTATTTTCTTTCATGCAAATATGTAGTTGTCACTCTGTTTTGAGAGGTTGTATTGTACACTTTGTCTTCGAAATTCTTATCGATTTATGAGATTGATGTTTCCCATAGGTTGGAAGGGATCCAAGATTTGAGCCTGTACATGGATCTGTTGACAAAGAAGGGTAAGAGTTGGATACTCGGATGCATATGTAATTGTTCTTTGGTGTCCACTGGGGATGAAAACGGTACGGATATTTTCCGACCATATTCGAGACCGAATCCGTTTAGAGGGGTTTAGATCTGTCTGTATCCGAGTCCGGATATTCAACATCCGATACCTTATCTGTATCCGAATACTCAAATAGCATATTTATGATGTCGATATCTAATCGTATCCTATCCGGCATGGTTGACACTATCCGTATTCGAATCCGAATTCGGGCAGAAATATGAAAACAAATGTAATATCAGTGATATCCGTCCGTATCCGATCAGTTTTCATCCCAGTGTCCGCACACATTTAAAGCATTTTTATTTGTCAATTTCTGTTTTGATGTTATATCTTGGGGAGGTTCTTGAATGTGTTTTCACTCTAATGCTCTAAGCACATATTTATCTGCTTCCTATTGGAAGGGGTGACTTCAGACCCCTTACCTATTTCACCCAGTTGATATTTCCATTCATTTTCCTTCCCAAAGCATGACTTCAGAAGTGTTATTTGGTTGTTCGTTCTGGTACTGGCTGTAAGCTTGATGAATTCTTGACACATTGATTTGGTTGGTATGCAGGTTCAGGAAAAGATACAATTTCTTATTTGATGAAGACTTCCCTGCTGAAAAAGAAGTGTGTTCAGTGTTCATATTCAAATGCATTGATTAGAAGATATTTCTGTTCGATGAAAATAATTCCATCTGCATTTTCTTGTATATGCAGAGACTTCAAAAAATGATTAAGAAATCTAAGGACCCAGATGCCACTGGAGAAATGAAGAGTCGTGTCACATGGATTGTATGTATACTTTACATGTTGGCTGTTGCCATGAAAAGTATCTTTTTTATAAAAAGTTCCATATCAATGCTTATTTTGTGATAATCGGTGAGTTAAACTTCCTGTTTCGACGTAATACTGACCATTTACTGATAGAAAATTTGGTTAACCTTTTGCCCACTGGATTTCTGATATTTGATTGAAGTATGTTCACTTAAACAGTTCAATCCCAGTAGGCAAAGGCAATGTTGGCCATACTGCAGCACTAGAAAGAGTACCCATCATCGGTGAAACTAATGACTATCTATATTTATCCACAAAAAATATATTGTGAATATAATTATTTGTTGTTGCATCGCAAACTAGACAACATTTATGTGAATTTTGATCTGAATGGAGTCCGGATAAGATGATGTTAGCTAGAGTCACCTGAGACAGACTGCTACAATCCACAAATGGATTGGCATGTACAATTTGATTGTCATATTCTTATATGGAGTTGATAATGAGAGAATCATTTTAAACTGTCCTTGGTATGCTTTTGGGAGCAATATGATTGGTTTAGTTGATTCCTGGAATGTAACTAACTACAGGATAAGCAGTTGAAGTCTCATCCTCAAAAGAACGTTGAATCAGAAATCTTGCGTGAGCATATCAAGAAAGAGAGGGAGGCAGCGAAGGCTGGTAAACGACCATACTATCTGAATAAATGTGAGTTCCTCAATCCCAATGCCTGCTTCCTTTCCTCACTGTCTGTCTATATTCGAGATTTCGAAATCAAATGGTTACTGTCTGTTCCGCAACCTGATGGTTACTCCCTTTTTTTTTCTTAACCAGCTGAACTTCGCGAAAGGAAGCTGATGAACAAGTACAATGAGCTCAAGGTAAAGTTTACAAGGTTTACTGGGAGTTCTTTTTGAACGCTGGGATATTTGTCTCAGTTCTTAAAATTTGTGTTCATTACTCACAGGAAGCAGGAAAGCTTGATGCCTTCATCGAAAGGCGGCGGAGGAAGAATGCTTCCAAAGATCATCGGTACATGCCATACCGACGGAGTGGACATGATGCATAACAATTTCTTGATTCTTGAGGCGAAAGGATGATTTTAGGATGGTCTTTTCATGGTCGGTGGACACTGGACAGTCAGTGTCCTCTGTTACTTTGTTGCCCTAGCCATACATTCGTCAGCTGTCCACAATCTACATTGAGCTTAGTAACAAGTTTTTGCTAAATAAAATTATGGATATATATTTTGTTTTGCACAACACTATCGTTTCAGACTCTTTCTACCTTCCTGCAAACCAACCTAAAAACGTTAGTACTCGGTCCTGAATTGAGCAGTGTCGCAGTGGCAGAGCTACAGAAGCATGTTAGCATTTTGCGGCTTGTTCCAGCTCTCATCCTCTGGTATCCTTTGGCAACAGCTCAAGCAAGGACAGGACATGATCACTTAAGCGCAACCGACCAAGGAGCACAAAGCAACGCAAAGACCCTCCACCCTCGATTCCATATGTTCTGTTCCTAATGAACGATACCAGTACACATGACAAATCCTGTTAATTCGGAATTTTAGTGGAAATTTGGGTCGGCAAAATGGCTTGGTGGGTGCACAAGGGCAAGTTGATATGCAGAACACACGAGATGTACATTTCAAAGTTCAAATGAACAATTTACAGGGGTCCAACCTGTTCCTACTAGGGGGACAAGAGGAATTAAAAATCACTTACCCCTTCAGTTACATTGCAGTACTGCAAAATACTCTGTAACTTGTATAAGTGCAATTGTAAAACCGCACTTCTGTAAACAAAATGCACAGCCGTAGAACAAAACAAAACTATGGATCATATCTCTAGACCAACTTATTTGACAAATATAATATTTGACAAATCTACACATAAGTCCACGGTGCTTTTTTCTGCGTGAGGTATTGCGGTTTCACCACCACTGAATCCACGCAGAGACCACCTTTCGTGTGTGTGCAATCTATCTGAAACATTGCAAACCTGACATTTATTGGTCTGCTCGAGTCCTTCACGACAAAGTCACCGACATGGTGATTGATCCAGATACCAGGATCAGTTAAATAACACTTGGACTGAACATGCTGTCCATCGGAAGTTGACATTTGGAAACGCACCGGCTTTATATCCCAGCCGTGGATGTGTTCTGAGCTATAAACTCGTCGTCCAAGACGCTTGAATGGTCGTCCAAGATGAACGCGGTAAAATAGGCTGTATGTACCTTCTGGGAAGAAGAATTCAACCTCCCCTCTGACTTCAAACCACCAAATTTGCGAGAGATAAGCAACCGTGTGAAATCTGCAAGGAATGACACAAATTCATGACCTCTCTTCTATGCATGGGTTTGAACCAGTGGCTATATATTCATGCGGCAAAAGAGGTACATGTAAAGTAAGTTGTACAGTTGAGGCAAATTTAAGCTAACTGGATAGGTACTAGAGTGGGCCACTAATGCTAGTATGTCCTATTTATTCACATGACAAGAAAAAAAATCAATGGCAAATGTCACGGCATATCATATATGATTTATTACATGAAAGCTAAAAAACAGATATATAGCAGAACATTCTAGGGAAAAAAAGAATGTTGAATATGAATAGCCAGTTGCCAGAATAGCGAAACTTTAGGGCACGTGACTATATGAATTCTAACTCCCACGGTGGGTTAAACTTTAGTTGTCCTTTCTTCTAACATATACCATCAAAACATTGTAGGAATACAGATATAGGAAACAGAACATGTCTTCTTTCAAGAAACGCAAGGTGCAGTTAAGCCCTAAGGCTACTGACACCTAGTTAGTGGGAAGGGGTAAGTGAATGGTCATCATTTTCTGCCACGAAAAAGCTCTCACTAGTTGGGACACAAGTTGATTAGTCCAAATACTCAACACACTCACTAGGCTGATGTTCAGTCTCATACACCAAGTCACCCAACATGGTTGAAGCAAACATGATGTGCCATGATCCATCATCAACTTAGTATAGGTAAGCATCTAGAATTCTAGATTTAAAAGGCTAGAACATAAGATATGCATTCCAATACCGCTAAATAATAACATATGCAATTCAGTAACCAAATACGAAAAATCACCTCAGTTCATACATGAAGCATGATCACTAAAAATTGCCAAGTGATATTTTATTACTAGTAGATGAAAGCACCTTGATTCATCATTAGGAATGAAGTTCCAATATCTCCTATCATCAATGCCCGTTATTGAAAGTGCCCTTGAAGAAATTGACATGCATAGACCTCCACCACCCTTGTCCAGCCAGAATTCCTGCACAATGCGCCATACAAATTTTATAACTGAGCAGTAACGAAATCAATATGCTAATCAGACTCCAAAAGGTCCAAACACAAACACGCTGCATTTGTCCCAATAAACTCAATTTGTGAGGCGTGATTTGGTGAACACAATGTTGGCCCTGTTCGGCTGGCTGGAAAAACGGCTGATGCTGATGCTTGTGAGAGAAAAATATTTTGCTGAAACGGTACTGCTGATAAGTTCAAGCGAACGGGCCCGTTGTCTCACAAGTTGATTCAACAAATCCCATATAATTTGATCAAATCAAACAGAACGTGACTCACAAAGCATACAATTTAAGCAAAAAAGATGGCATGTAACTCTTGGAGAAGGCGAATAAGAACCTTTTTGCCGCCATCGAAACGGTTGCGACGGCAAAGCCGCGCGTACAGTTCCTTCTTGGGCAGCGGCTCCGCCTCCGGCGCCGACGCGGTGGGCTGGCCCCCTTCCCCATCGCCGGCCGCGGCGATGGCGAGGAGGCGCGCGTAGTTCCTCGGCAGCTTGGACTCCCAGACACCGTCCCCGGACGCGGCGCCACGGAACGTGCGGCTGAGGCGCGCCATCCGGCAGATCTCCAGCGGGTCCAGCCTGAGCAGCACCTCCGCGACACAGTTCTCCGGCAAGTCGCCCAGCACCGTGCCATCGCCTCCCCGTCCCCGGCCCCCTCCCGCCGACGAGGCCACGGCGCCCATGAACCGAGAGAGGGGGAGCTCAGCTCAGCAGTAGAGGGTGAGCGACTTGGAGAGCAGCAGCAGGGACCCCGGCGACTTGGAGAACGGCGGCGGCGGGTTACACCTCAGCGCCAGAGGACCCATCGCGATGGCGCCGCCTCGGTGGCCGTGCCGTCGGGAACGGGGAAACCTCTGAGCGTCGTCGTCGTGGTCGTTTGCTCCCCCGAAGGTAACCACCGCCGCGTTGCTCTCCTGCCGGCTGCCCTTCTCCTCTCGCTCCCCTGCTTCAGCCGGCTCTAGCAGATGCCCTGCTGAAAAAGGCTGCACCTTTCGGTTCTCCTCCACGATTCTTGACCAAACAATTGGTGGTTGTTTCCTCTAGTCTCTCCTGATCTCTGACGCGACCGCGACGGAGAAGAGAAGAGAAGGACGCGAACTCGCGAAGGGAAAGGTATATATGCTCTGCGTACGTTGCGTGCGCTGGTAATAACTTGGGCGTGGTGCGTTTGCTGGGTCAGGCTGTATCGGGGGAGGAAATGGAATAGCATCAGCAACAAGGCCAGGCGTGGAAGCCGTGGAAGAAGACGAGTGGAAGAGTGAGCAAGCTACAAGCAGCGGTGGTGGCTATGGGTTGACGGGATTCTCTGCGGTGGAAAGCAGCCGGGCGGCGAAAAGCGCATATTTTCTTTCATCAGTTTTTTCGAGGCGGGGGGTGATCGCGTGTCGTCTCTCGGCGGTCGTCGTGTGCTGTCTGCAGTCTGCTCAGGGAAAGTGGTTATCGATGATTTCTTTCATCAGTTTTTTCGAGGCGGGGGGTGATCGCGTGTCGTCTCTCGGCGGTCGTCGTGTGCTGTCTGCAGTCTGCTCAGGGAAAGTGGTTATCGATGATTCCCCAGTTGTTCTTGACAGCAAAATGATATCAACAGTGACAGCATCCCTTCTTATAAAGATGGAAAAGAAAAATAAACTTCAATAGATAAAGCATTTAGGCCCATCTCTCTTCGAATGAGGGAATTTTTTTTCTCGAAAATATGCAGGAAGACTTAAAAAGGGAACTGTAGAGGACTTACAGTACGATTGCCTAAGGCTCGCAGGTTATACAGATTATACGGCTAAGTAATTACTCGCAAACAAGAAACCGAGTACTGAGATATCTTGGACGGAAGGCCATAATAGCATTTCTGGAGACTCGAGGAAATGAGGGATGGAGCTATCATCGCGCAAAACTCTAATTCAGAGATCAAATTTGTTCAGTCTAACGGAAGGTATCCTACTCAAAGGGAGGACTATTCTCACCGTTGTTGTTAAAACAATTATTTCTTCCATGGATTAACTTACTCCACTATGTAGTCTATACTTGTGGTGTCCTAGAACAGGTCATGAGATAAAGAGACGTGGCCGAAAGTACACGCGACAAAATCGGTCCTAAGATGTCTTCTTTGGAGAAAAGAAATCCCAACATGCCTACGTATCCAGTACTAAGACGATATTAGTTGTTATCCTTATCGGCAACAACAGAACAATGGTATATAGTAATACAGTGTTCCAATTTTTAACTTGAGGTTTGGATGATCCGCAGAGGCATCCAATCGCTGTGCTCGGTGGTGCTCCAAGAAAATTCAGACAGTTCCAGAAGAGTCCCCCGAGCTGTCGATCATGTGGAGCAACCACGTATGCACTCCATCCAATCAAACAGCCTCGACGGCAGATGCAATGCAACATACATAGATCTAGGGACGCTGCTGGCCAGCAAATTAAACGCATCGCTTTCCAACTGAAGTCAGAGAGGCGTTTGCGTTTGCGTCTGCAAAATGTTCATGGTTACATGCATTGGATGGAGGTCTTGATCTCCAATCACATCGATTGTAATGTAATACTCCGATAGCCATGTGCAATGATGAACTCTAGAAACCAGGGATTGTGAAACTAAGGATTTCGTCGTCGCAGTTTCAGCCATTTCAGCAAAGCTTGCCTTCCCCAAAGGCCTGCATGATTGAACAGTTATTCCCCAAACTAATCGGTTATTCTTTTCCCGAAGAAAATAATAAATTTGCGTTGCTCCATCTTGGACGGACAGACGGCTCAACGAAGCAAAAAGCGATCTCAGACGGTGCAGCAACATGGTCAGATGGAGACGCACAAGAACACTCAGACGTGCCAATAATGTGTGCTACTGCTGCCTAACAGTACTGCCATTTCCTGATCTGAACGGACTTGGCCACGTCGGCAGCTAAAGTTTATCTGTTTCAGACCTGGAGAAATGGGCGTTTATTTGAGATGGCCAGTGTTTGGTGGCTGATGCCTCCAGTTGGATGTCAGTAAGGCATACGAATGGATTGAAAAGGTGCTCATGAATAATCATGATAGTTTGAGATGAACATGGCATCATCCTCTTCATTTGGTGGATGGAATAGCTCAGACTCAGAAAGTCAGAACTTTAAGCGAAAAAAGAAGGCACAAGTGCGGTTCCAGGCCAGCAAAAATACTAACCCAGTTGAGCGTCAATAAAGTAAAAGAAAAAGTTGTTGAGATCTGTTGAAAATGTCAACAAAAATGAAGGATATGGAAACACAGTAGAGAGGCTGAGTGACATGGACAGTTTTCCTCACCCCAATTGTCTAGGAAAAATATATCTGAATAATATTCTTTTTATATATATAAAAAAAATCATCTCATCCACGCTCACTGCTGCTACAGAGAAAAAGGCTTGGCATAGTAAGGTCACTTGCCGGTTCAAAGAAAGCTTCAGGTACGACAACCAGAATGTTCATCTGTGAGTTTTGCTGGTTGCACGTCCACATCCACACTTTACAACACTGGATAAAGTCAGAGAACAATAGAAGTGGCAGAAAGAGCAATATGACAACAGAACGGAGAACATGTATCAGCACAAGAATCTAGAACTAATGGTGTGGATCTGAGTCAGCATCGGATCATGCGCCATTAGATAATTAGTACAGTCAGAATCAGTGCCATCGTTTAAACAACCAATCACTCTGAGCATACTAATCCAAGACCCAAGATATTTTTGGAGTGTATCCATCCCTGTTTTGCCCCGGAAACCTTACACAAGAACAAAATTCTCACCAAGAAGATGCATTTCAAATTCTGCTAGCCATAAGCTTTTCCTACTGAAATAAGCAATGGAGCAACTAAGTGGCATGGTGGTACAGAGGTCCGAGAAAAAAAAATAGAAAAAAAGAAGAGGAGGTGTAGAACATCTACAATATTGTTTCTTCGCAGAATCAAATCATGGCCTATTCGCTTGAACTTATCTGCCGGCTTATCAGCTAGAATCTACAGTATTTTTCTCTCACAACAAAACAGCTTTAGCCGGCTTTAATACCAGCCAAACAGTATCGAGATATTGAACTGCTCTTGCTCGAACTTCTCAAAAGGAAAAAAAAAACATCCTTCATTATATTCAGAAAACAGCAACCAAACTACCAAAATACCCACACAGATTTATCAATTTGTGATAAACTAAGATGGATAGACGCATCATAAAACGCGACCTGGTCCAGTTACCAGTACGTGTAGACCCATGGCAGTTTTCTTAAGCAAAGGGCACCAACTAGGCTCACATAATCACAAAGCATGGGCCATATGTGTCCAACGTCTTCTGAAAAGCATGCTGCAAGCCAATAGCGATGAAACTGCAGCATTTGCCAGGACAGGAGCGTTGTAGTTCATCCAAACACCTCCTCGTTGCAGACTGGGCATGCCTGAATATACACACAGGTAGAGATCAGGTGGTACTCTATGGCAAATCCAATGGGTTCAAACAATACATATGCCCTGAAACGGCCTTAGTTGCTTTCATATAACTACGAGAACTGGCAGAGCCTCATGGAGGCCCCTTGTCTCTGCCAGCACTTCTTTGTCATCTCCTTGTTCCATGAGGTAGGAAAAAAGGATGATATTCGATAGACTGCTAATGTTTTCTTGTCGAACGCAACTACTAATTCCTAGTAAGAGAAGATAATAATAAAAAAAAACTGAAGCAGCAAAATTTTCCTATACATTGATTTCTGCTAAACAATTTGTGCTCCCCACCCCCCCCCACACACACACACACACACTAATGCTTTATCCCCACGCTACGTAGCTGACTATGAGAGATTCAGAATCAGCAGAAAAATGTTTAGACCTTTGAATCATATATACTAGCATCTGTAAAAGGAAGAAAGCAGATTTTCCTGTTCTATTTGAAAACAGAACTTTACCTTGTTGATCTTAAGCCAGCGAGTTATGCAATCTGCGTGATAACAGTGGCTACAGGGCAGTTTTATCATCCTCTGCCGGCTTTTATATGTTGTTTTGCAGATCACACATCTGCAGGGAAGGTACAATGCAGTTATGTATCTGTCAGCAACTTTAACGATTCAAATTTCTACTACCAAATTCAAAAGGATGAGCAAATCTGGCAAAGTAGAATTGTGCAGTTACGTACTCCTCGCTGTTCTTTTTCCTGGAGAAGAAGGTGCACTTGTTCCTAAATGGCTCCAAATAAGATATCAGCTCATCAGATAACCCTCTGGACTGAGTACCTACTGCTTCCCCTAATGCTTGTAGTTGCTATAACAGTTACAAAATAAATTAAATGAGAATTCCATAGAAATAATATTATCATGAAATCTACCATAAGTGATAGATGTTAGTTAAAGAACTGATTATTTTTATGAAACAAAGATACAATGACCAGCTCTGAACCTGAAAGATGCAGCTGCTGCTGCCGAGCCTAGCTGCTTCTGGTATGTACTAATCCTAATTCTTGTTCTATAACATGGAAGTTAGCTTGCTCCGTTCACTCTTATATATTTCAAAACAACATGCTCTTATGTGGTTTTCAACTTTTTTTAAAAAAGCATGGGAGTTGTACTTCTTGATTTTGAAGTTTGTGAACCTAACTCAACACTGAAGTTGGCTCCACTAGCCTGTCCTTGTTTCTACTGTACACAAGGACTCAAGGACAGGAATGGACCAAACCATATAATTGGCACAAAAGAATACTTCAGCTCTGCGGTCTGAAGATTCACTATCTAGAAGTGGCACTAGCACTAGGGTTTTGCACAAGAGTGAAGTGCACCAGCAGTCCTTATACTTGTTCAGAGGTGTCACCCAGGTTCCAAAACTATTAATTTGCAATATTAGGTCCCCAAACTTGATTTGTGGCACTCAAGGTCCAAACATCTTTGAAGTGTTAATCCTTACACTTGGCATCCATAAGATGTTGCTCCACCCTGGCGGGTGTTGCTCGATTTATGGGAGATGAGGAGAGAAGAAAAGTGGAAGATGGGGTTTTCCATGTGGGTTGTTAGCATGCCACATGGGCAGTTACACACTGGTTAGCAAAATGGACGTTGAAATGCATACTTTGAATGAGCTTTCATGTTTCCACCAGGAGATGAGTTTGCAAAACATATTTTCCCCTTGAAGAATACAAATTAATAGTTCTGGGACTTAGGTGACATCGTCAAACAAGTTTAGGGACCGTTGATGCACTTTGCTCTTAGCACAATGCCCACAGAGAAAAGGAAGCGCTGCGTCATTTGCTTCCACCAATATTCACCTACATATAGGCTTGCACTCCAGTCACATGCTGTATACCCTGAATATTATATTCCTGGCAAAGAGTACTTAAAAAAAATAGACTGCTGATGAACTTAGCGTCCCTATCAATAAAAAAAAATATTCTGAAAAGAAGATTAAGCATCCCAGATGTACATTCTTAGCAGGATGCACTTAATCTGTTGATAGGAAATAATGTACCAAATTTTCAGGAGGTCTACAGAAAAAACTATTTGTTCTACTACGAAAACTCCAAAAGTAACTTCATCTTAATGAAATACGTGTCCAAAGGACACAGTCGTGAAAAAAAAAACCCAAAAGTAATTTTACTCTTTGCTACTAGCATATCCTACATGAGATGAGAATTTCAGACCATTCCTTCCATTCCAAGCTATTTGTTCTACTACAAAAACTACAAAAGCAATTTTACTCTTTGCTACTAGCATATCCTTCATGAGATGAGAGTTTCAGATCATTCTTTCCATTCCATCACAGGAAACAATAATCAGCATACCTCGTATGACATATTATCTGGGTCCACATTGTCTTCCCCTGCAACCTAATGTGGATACAAATCATCGTCATGTTTCCAGTTGAGACAAATGGAGTCCTTTTCATGTAAGAGTAAGACGACAATCCCAACGAACCAAAAAGTTCAAAGAGAAGAGTACCCAAACAACAAACCTGAGCTGCATTCTGTGCAGGCCTGTACTCAACAGCCGGTGACGATGACTCCAAGGACACATTGCCTGAATAGAAAATGAAGGATGAGCATGTGGTCAGTGTGTTAGTTGACTACAGCTAAGTAACTAACGGAATCACTTCAGAAGAAGGGAAAGATTCAGAGAGTGGAGCTGTACCGGCGAATTCTCTGGTGTCCGCAGCAGCGTCACACGCGTTCTCCTCCTCCTGCAGTTGCCTGGCCAGAGCTTCGTCAGACGCCACCCAGGCCTCAATCTTGTGGGTCTCCGAGGAGACGTGGACTGAATAGGTGGTGGGAGTGGCCATTGATGGATTTGCAACTCCCCTGCAACGATTTAGCGGCGAAGACGGGGATTCAATCAAGTAGATGAAACCTCGTGCAGCTTTTAAACATGTTCAAGCAATTGTCTGAACTATGAACCGAATTAACATTTGGATTTCAAGCTCACGATTGGAGTGAAATTATTTTAATGTCTGCAGTGTCTAGCGTCTTTCAACAGAGATTGAAGAGTCTCATATCGCATCGCAGGAAGGGCAATTTGCCATACAGAGAACGTAGCATCAAACGGTGCCACTAAATTTCACTCCTACCAAGAATAGCCAGAGCTAAAATACACCTAAAACAGTCCCGGTTCATCGAAATCAGCCGGAGTAAGTTCGCAGGGAGGTTCTGTCTTCTGTTCTGCCTTCCAATTGCCACAGGACCAAGCAAAAGAGAGAATTTGAGACACTTTTCTCTTTCCGATCAAGAAACCAATCACACAAGAGACAAAAAAAAAGGGACAAACAGAATTCGCTCCGGGCCAAGAGCGCCCGCCGAATCATCCAACGACCGTCTTCTCGAACGAATTGGAAGGAGATAGCAGCAGTGCGTACCTTGCCTCCGTCCTCCAGATCAGCGGAGAAGAACGGAGTGATGGCGCCGCCGCCGCCGCCGGCTCGTCCTCCTCTCTCCTCTCTCTATCTCTACCTCTCCCCCACTCTCTCTGGCAAACTGTGTGGTACTACTGTACTGCCCAGAAGCAATTTATGCAACCGACGTGAGCCGCGGTCGCTCACAAGTCAATGTGATGTAGACAACTTTACTCTCTTCCTTTTTGTTCTCTTTATATTTTTTCCCCTTTGTTTCTCGGCACCCTTGTTCTTCTTGTCTCAAGTTCTCAACTATGCAACTACTTCATTTTTCATTTCATTCTCGTTAACTAACTCCATTTTATAAGCCCTAATCCGCAGGATAAGCCACGGATGCTGTAATGGCGCATCTGGATTAAGCTGTCCATGAGCATGTCACATCACCTTGCAGCGTTTGTTTAGCAAATTAACAGTGTGCTTAGGCTGCTGGCCTGCTAGGTTCACACAAAAGGTCACAAGTGGCATCAGAATATCAGAGGGGAGTTGTTTAAGCTCACCAGACCGGTGGCGGGTCTTCGTCGCACAGATAGAGAGTGGCTCACAACCCACGAGCAAAAACAAGAGGTCCGTCCAGAACAGTAGCTTCCAGGTGACGGATCTCGCAGGATTTTGGCACTGAAACCCCTTTCTATTCACCTCTGTCGAGTGTCGAGTGGCTGTTCCGCTGTACCGGCGAGGATCTTGGCTCCCTGACATGTTTACTTTGTTTAACGCTTCAGCTTGGAATTGAGTTGAATTTTGATGCTTTTTTTTTAAGGGATCTTGACATCTCACGGGATAAGACCATCCCCTCCTTATAAATAAGGGTTATTTAGATTCATACCATTATGATTTTCGATGTTTTGAGAAACGCCATTACTATTCACCTATTTTGAAACATGTCATTATAATCTTTCGTTTCTCACGAGAATGCCACATAATACGTATGGAGATGATTTAGACCTAGCTACAGGCATATACAAATTTATGAAACATGTCATTATAATCTTTCTTCTCCCACCTTCTCTTCCCTTGCCGATCGCGTCGATGGCGAAAGCCAAAGCACATGGCGAGCGCTACGCGGCACAGCGACGTGGGAGAGCGATTTGGACTAGACCGACGCGTCGCTGTTGCTTCGCCGCATGGCCATGCCGCCCCATATACCATATACGCCGCCCCAGTTTTGCGCGCTCCAGCGGCCACATCTCGGCGCGCCGCCAGTATATATCTCCGTCGCCGCCATCAATGGCGGCAGCAGCAGCATGTCCCGAGCTCCGCGGACGGCCGTCGATGGCGCGCGTCAGGCGAGCTCGCGAAGACCGCGTGCTCGCACAGCACGCGCGCTCAGGCTCGTGCTCATTGTTACCAAGCTGCGAGCTCTGCATGTTGCCGTTGCGCGTGTCACACCACGTACGCGCCCGTCACGTCGGCTGCTGTGTCTTTGCTGCTGCCGCCCGCGTCTTCTTTGCTACTCCTCGCTATGGATACGCTGCTCCACAATGGAAGATGGCAAGAGGAGGAAGGAGATGACATATGGGGCCCGCGTGTCAGTGACAGGGAAAGGGGCTACAATGAGATATATGTATTCGTATACGCCTGTAGCTGGGCCCAAATCATCTCCATACATATTATGTGGCATTCTCGTGAGAAACGAAGAATTATAATGATATGTTTCAAAATAGACGAATAGAAATAGCGTTTCTCCGAACATCGAAAATTACAATGGTATGAATCTAAATAACACTAAATAAAGGGGATCACAACCGATTGAAGTGTCCAACACAACGGAACAAAAGACTAATATATTTTCACCTCTCTTTTTATGTCCTGTAATCTCTTCCAATCTCTATGTTATTGTTCATCTCTTTACATAACGAATAAGGATGATGCTCTATGATTGCTGGCCGACCTAGGGCATAGATAGGGTCACTTCCGGGTGAAAGGTTCGACATTTTTTTTTGTTAGTTTGCCCATAAATCTTGCCCTTTTTTTACCATGTAAATGTGATAGTTACTACCCTCGGACGTTCCTAGACAAAACCTAGATAAGCCAAGTAGGCTGATTCTCAAAACTGACTAGGTCAATGTTGGCAGATTTGTGCCCCCTTGTCCGTTTGTAATCCGAGCGTTCTGCGTCAATCTATCTTATTATGTCTTAAATTTTCAATACATTGATATCACTTAATATGTGTAACTATGTACTAACAATATTATTAGTTGGGTAAGCTCCAAGCAGCAAGTCACAGAAACGCCAAAAATTAAAGTAATTGCAGAACCAAGCTGAGAGACCCTTTTATAAGGCCCAAAAGATGATACAAAGAACCAATCGGTAAAAGTTTCTATCCAAATGAGACTGGCTGATAATGACATACATCCAGCCAATCACACTGTATCTTTTCGATTTCACTTTCTGCTGTTCCGTATATGGTAAAAAAGGATTGATTGCTGTTGGTGATGCTGGATAAGTCCAAAAATCGCAGTAGTTTGCAATGGAGTGTATCGTGACAGCGGCGTAAAATAAGTCCCTGGTAAAAGTTCCAGAATACAATTTACAATTCAACCCCTCGGAATATTCGAAGTGAAATGTAGCTCACGGATTAATTTCATAAACCCACTTGTTTCATTATATAATAATACTTTCTATGTCCACAAAAAAATACACTTTTAGCACAATACCATGTTAATATTTACGTTTAACTAACTATAAATAAAAATATCAATATTTATAATATCAAATAATTATCATTAAATTTGTTGTTAGATATATTCTCTTACTATATTTATTTGGTGTTATAAACATTAATATTTTATGTATATATTTATTTAAATTTTACACACTTTAGCCAAAAAATACATCTAGAATTGTATTTTGGACAGAGGTACTACTACCTCAATTTTTTTGAGGCAAACTATCTAATTTTGCGATGTAGCGAGGATCGCTTATGGAAAAAGTCTATTTTATCTCGCTGAACTATCCTCGAAGTTTAATTTTTCTCCCTGAACTCCAAAACCGGGTAAACCACCTCCCTCAAACTTTTAAAATCATTCATTTTACCTCCCTGGCCTGGTTATAAGTGGTTTTCAAATGCAGTTTTGCATTTTAGTTTAAAAATAAATCCAATAAATACCTAATGAGGTTTGTAAACCATAAAAAATTATCTCTAAGCTTCTAAAAATTCTGAGAAAAATACTAAAGATGGAATAGGACACGAGAAACTCAAATAATATATTTATATCTCGTGAAAATATCTCTAGAATCTTTTTAAAATGGATTTATCCCTAGGAAAATGGGAAAATATGCAAAAAAAAATAGAAAACTACCAAAATGTTCTAATTCATGTCTAAACACATTTTAGGAACTTTACACAATATAAATATCATATGCAACCAACATAAATGCAACATATATTAATGTTGAATGCAATTATGTTGAATGCGTTCATGCCAACTTCATCTCATGTTTTTATTGTGAAAAGCATTTAAGATGCAATTAGATATCAAATGGAATATTTTGGTAGTTTTCTAGATTTTTTGGATGTTTTTCCGATTTTCCTATAGCTAAATCAAAATTTTAAAAGGTTCTAGAGAAATTTTCACGAGATATAAATATACTATTTGGGTTTCTCATGTTCTAATCCATCTTTAGTATGTTTCTCAGAATTTTTAGAAGCTTAGAGATGTTTTTCGTGGTTTAAAAACCTCATTAGGTATTTACTGGATTTATTTTAAACTAAAAGACAAAACCGCCTTTAAAAACCACCTATAACCGGGTCAAGGAGGTTAAGTGAATGGTTTTAAAAGTCGAGGGGGCGGTTTACCTGGTTTTGGAGTTCAGGGAGGAAACTAAACTTCGAGGATAGTTTAGGGAGGTAAAATAGCCGTCGCTTATTCGAACTGTGCATGTGTTGGACCTCGAAGCCTCGTGGTAGGAGACTCAACTGGCCCAGTTTGTAACCGGTGGGTGGACCTTCGGGAGTGCACGTGGAGCGGATCAGCATGGAGGATGGCAGTTGTCCCTGTCACCGGCTCACCGCGCCAGGGTCCTTGCAGCCTTGCAGGACGGGCCGGTAGTCGCGATGCCCGCCGCATCGGCCCAACTCATCGCGGTCATGGCCTCTTGTAAGCTTGTTTGTTGCCGCTCCAACGCCGACCGAACCGAGCCCGAGAGCGAGCGTGCACGCGACGCGTGTGACGTTCGGTGGCTCACACGCTTGCGATGCACGGCGCTCCTCCATCCAAAAGCGAGCCCGCCGGGCACGGGCACGGGCACGTAGCCGTAGGTGAGCAACGCGAGGCTCGCCGCCGTCGCTCTCGGGCCACACCCATGAACGCCTATAAATCGCGCCGTTAGCGCACATACACACACCGCGACCCAGTCCAGTCCAGAAGATCCAGCAGAACGTGCTACGCAGCACG